ATAATGTAAATATCTGATATGCAGGATGTATTTTCATTGTTACAAATTGAACATAATTAAAGCATAGTGATTAATCATAAAAACAATATGTAATTATATATGTGTTTTCCAATGGTCTTAGGCAACCCCTGTGAAAGGGTCGTTCGACCCCCAGAGGGGTAGCGACCCACAGGTTGAGAACCATTGGTCTAGACAAAACTTGTGATTAGTTAAATGAAATTAGAAAAAATAAAATTTAGTGGAAGATCCAATAGCAAGTATGAATAAAAAGTAAGATGCTATCGAGAGTTGTAAACATTAAGGCAAAGCATCATATGTCTCCACTGTGATACATATTTCTCCTCTTCAATACATGTGACAAGTTTGCAAGAAACTATTAATTGCCTAAGTATTTTATTATTTCATTCTTCATGGTGGTAGTAGTCTCAATTAAGAAGTTCAATAAATACTATTCTAATTCTAAAGTGATCAAAGACAAGGAATTCACTAGTTTAAAGAGCAGGGCAGCTTGGATATTGAATATAAAACAATGCCCAGTTTTTAGAATATAGTGAAATTGTAAGTTAAACCATTGTTAAATATTATATATTAAAGATAAAATATAAAATTTACTATAAGAATCTTAATCAAAGTCTTTTCACTGCCAATGAATATTTTTCAATACATGAAATAATGTCTCTGAACAAAGAACATGTCCCAGCCTCTCTTACAGATGTAAATAATTAACTAGTATGTGCTCCAGTAAGTAGTTTCATTCCAATAAGGCTATTTCTCAGAATGTCAGAGTTTAGGGAGGATTCTGAGTTTCTTGTGAACCTTACCTCTGACATTTATTTTTTTTGGCTTTGGTGATGATACTGAACTAAATATCAAAAGATAATGAACTAGTTTTTTGTTGAAAACCTGCTGTGTTTGAGATCCACTAGGAAAAAGCAGGAAACGCTCCATTCGAAGCATGGCTGTGAAGACCCTTTGAACACTTACCAATGTCAGATACAGATACAACACATCTTAACTGAAATCACGGCAATTGAAGCACCACATTCCTTTTTCATATAAAAATGTAATTTTTTCTCCTTACCTTGCTGTACAAAGGATCCATACACAAACCACATGGAGTTGTAGAGAGTAGTAGAACTCATTGATCCCATTTGTAATCGTGGAGGATTAAGCCAATTCAAAAGGTAGACCAGAAGCCCCACAAGAAGGACTGTGCCAGCAATGCAAGCCCATAGAGAGAGATCGAATGGTGCAAGACAGGCAAACATATCCACTGTCTTTTCAGCTCTTCGAAGTAGTACTCCCACTGAGTAGTCCATGTAACGTGTTGTAAAGTCCACCACATTCTCTCGATCTGGGGTGATGGTTAAAGCAGAAATCCCTATGTCCGCTCTCTGAGAAATTGAAAGAGAGAAGAATTCATTAAGAGTGTGAAAAACAATTTGAATGGTGACATTTTGGCTTGCCTTGAGGAAAAAAATTAGATGCCTCAGGCAACATCTTAAATCTTCTTTTATATATAAACTGAAAAACACTGCAGAAACTTCTTAGAGGAGAGTTGTGTGTGAATTTTGAATTTCTTACTGCAAACTATGCCCCCCCCCAGAGTCAGACAAATTACCTTGTTCATATCACCAGTGAAATAAGCATGTGAAATTAGTGAAGAATATTTATTATTATTATTATTATTATTATTTTTAGGCTAGTCAAGTGAAGCAGTGGGAGTGGAGAAGGAACAAAGAAATCTGTAACTGACTGTGATCAATTAGTTGTAAGACACCACTGCACTCGGACCAGCCTAAGAAGAATATTTTAGATGTAGATAATACCTGAAGGAAATTGTTTTTTTTCCTGGGGTCATTTTATCAAAGTCTTCATTAACACAGTAACAAAGGCAAAACTTATTCTAAAAAATTCTTTCTGAGAAAATGTTCCTGAGATATTCAATATGTCTCTAACATGTAAATTATTAGGTAGTTTATTTTAAAAACGTAACATAGCATTTTACCCTTTGTTTAGATTTCTCTGTATCAAAATTTATATTACTGAGCTCTAAACATATTAGTGTGTTAGAGTTTTCACATAGCACTAAGGTATGTCATATACCAGAAGTCTCTACCATGATCTTATTGAATAAACCTCAGAAACATTTTAATGAACAACTAAAAATTAAGAAAAAAAATAATTCTTCTTGGCGTTATATCCTCTCATCTCTCTGTTTGTGTCACCCTAGATTGAGTGACAGCCCTCAAAATTATAGCATATGCTATTTTATTTATTTAAAGTGCATAGCAGAATTGCAGTGAGACCACTAAAAAATGACTTCAAATTTAAATTCTATGACATGAAAAACATATTTAAATATATAAAAGATGAAGTCTTTGAAATAATGATCTGTAGCTGTGATTAAAGCTGTGGGAAACTCCTTCCAGACAAATGCAAACAACAGTAAATTATTTGTTGAACATTTTCATTATTTTTCTTTTTTATTGTTTTATGAAACAATATGGAAACTGATTTTTTTGCTTTTGGGGACAAGAACAAATGAAAAATAACATGTCTAGTATAATGCTAAACCAACTTAGATAAATCTAATCTCCGAAGACATAGTCACAAAAATTTAATATTTAGTTAGAATATATTTAAAATGTATTTACATATGTACATACATATTCTGTTCCTGCACTTAATAAGTATAGAAGTCATGTTAAAGCTATGTTTTTCTTATTCCAAAGCCTGTGCTCATAACACTTTACCATACTTCAAGAAATCATTCATTTTCTAAAAGACCATATTGTAGGTAGTAAAGGTAACTGGTTTAAGTATAATTGTTAACTTAAGAAAGTCTGAAATGTTGTTTTTAAAAACTGTACTATTTACAATGCAACAAAACCATCTTAATTTCAGTACCATGAGTTTAGAATTAACTGAGAAGTAGTAAACTTAATAATTACTATATGAAAATGGACTTACAGAGAAATAGTTATGGCTGCTTTCAAACTCATGTATTTATTTTTTATAGCTAGATGTTAGGAACTGGGCCTTTTCAGATTGAAAATCTAACCTGGATCCTTAGCTCTCCAGTTCTAACCTTCTGAGCTTCAGTTTATCTATTTATGAAATAAATATAACTATGTTCACTATGACTACTGTGATCCTAATGGTGAATAAATAACTCTCCGGGAATCAATCAGGCTCTCAGAAGGTACATTTACTTTTTCAGGACAGTAAAGTGCTATGGATCAGTAATTTACTAATTGATGTATTGTGACCCAAGCATTTTATTAACGTCAGGAAATTCCACCTAAGGAGATATTTACTGACAACATGTTGATTATTTTAAATGTTCATTAATAGTTTGCTGATAAATAATTAAATGTTTTGGATCAAAATGATTATGAATAGGAATTGTAATATACTGCTTTTCATAGTAGAGACCTGTAGTAACACAAAGTGAATTTATATCATGAGAAAAAGAATTATATCTATAGAATAATGTGTTTTTAATTTTTTTAAAAGGTAGCTAATTGTATTGCATGTGATAAAATATTTATTAAATATAATAGTTTATCATATTTCTACAGAGACCTTCCTGGTTCACTCTCAACACTTACTTATTTTGTTCTCAAGAAGAAATTCCCAGTCTCCCTGTGGAGGGCATATCGGAATCACACAGCATGGGGGGAAAGGAGGTTTACAGTTGTTAGTACATGAAATACAGAGTTTATCCTTGTATTATTATTAATTAATTATTGTATTTTTTCCATATGAATAACAGTAAACCTACTTTTCCCCCACTCTGTATAATGGGCTTTTCCAAGAAATATATTTACATGGACACAGTATATATACACATGCACACACATTTCCCCCTTTCTGAGGTTTATATATACCATCCTAAGGAACTGCTTCAGTCCATCCTTTAGAACAGGGGTCCTCAAACTACAGCCCACGGGCCACATGTGGCCCGCCGAAAACATTTGTCTGGCCTGCCAGGTGTTTTTGCCGCCACTGCCTGTTGCTGAATTTGTTCATAGTTTTTTTTTTAAACTATAGTCTGGCCCTCCAACGGTCTGAGGGACAGTGAACTGGGCCCCTGTTTAAAAAGTTTGAGGACCCCTGCTTTAGAAACAATGAGATAGCAAACCACTGTGTTTGATATAAGTATGTGATGGCCCTTACTTATATTAGAGAAGCTGTATTTAGGCAGAAAAAAAGCCAAGAACCACTGATCCCCAAAGATGGCTGTAAAACTTCTTGATTATATCCAAAGAACCAAAAATGATCAGAGATAATCATTACTATATTTATCTATCTATCTATCTATCTATCTATCTATCTATCTATCTATCATCATCATCTAGCTAGCTAGCTATCTTTCTTATTTACATACTAGAGGCAGGGTGGACGAAATTCATGCACTGGACGGTGGGGTGGGTGGTCCCTCAGCCTGGCCTGTGCCCTCTTACAGTCTGGGAACCCCACATCAATTGCCCCAAAGAGGTAGGCCCTGCCCACCTGGCCAGGGTTCTGCAATCGATCACCTCCACAGAGGGAGGCCCAGGCTACCCGCCACAGTGCCAACGGCTGGGTGGCAGGGGCCTCCCTCTTTGGGGCGATTGATCATGGGGCCCCTCCATCAATTCCCCCAAACCGGTAGCCCCACCCACCTGCCGCAGTTCGCCAATTGGTGGCCTGGGCCTCCCTCTTTGGGGTGATCATGGAGCCCCCTATTGATCACCTATCCAGCCAGTGGCCTGGGTCTCCCTCTGCGGGGCGGTCATGGGGCGATGGCTGGGCCCCCGACCAATCACATCACACCTGCATTGGCTGGCCTGGCGCCAGTGGGTGTCATAGCACGGTCATCCGATGGTCGTTCCTCTGTTTGGCTTTTCAGTCAATTTGCATATTACATTTTATAGATGTATGTATGTATGTCAATTATTATAGATGTATGTATGTATGTCAATTCACTTGTCCAATTTCGTACGATGGTTTTTCAAAACTCTACTCCTTTGAAACCTTTAATGTTTTCACTTCCACCCTATCTCTTGGAGGATGACCTCCACTGCTACTATGTAGTAAACATAGAAGGTAGATTAAAATTCACACTTATTTTCACCTCTCAGCCTATACCCCACACTCAGTCTCTACTTAGCCTATGTTTACAACAGAGGAGCTGTCCTCCTTCCTGTCTGAGGCCAATCCCCTCTCTTTTAATCTTTACATTGCCGAACCAAATGGACACAATTTAGTGCTCATCTGTTTAGGCTTCTTGACAACATTTGAGAGTGATGATTGCTCCTTCCATCATAAAGATTCTTTGCCTTGGATTTCATGACATAATATAAGCCTCTTTCTCAGTTCCTTTTTCAAGCTTCTGTAGACAATCCTCTGTCTTTTGGCCTATACTCTTTTCTCATTCAAGATTCTCTGTCAAGGTGATTCCATTCATGTCCATAACTTCCAAGGTTCTCATTTACATATAGATTTATAAATTTTATTTCAAGTTGAGTATTGGAGTCAAGACTGATTTGTGCAACCACATACTTGACATTTCTACTAGATGTCTCCAAAACATCTCAAATTTAACATGGCCAAGATCATATTCATTATATTCAACTCTAACCAGTCTTCTCCCAATGTCTCCTGCCTCGATGAATATCTTTCTACTTAAGTCTTCATAGTGGCCTCATTACTTATTTTTCTTCCTAGGAATCTTAATATCCTTTCACATCTCTACTATTTACAGCTCTCATCATTGCTTTCCAGGCTTCTTATCAGTGTACATGAAATCTATCTTTCCTCTTCTCTACCTTTCTGTAGAGAAAATCTGACCTGCCACAGTTGAAAGATTTTCAGTAGACTTGCATTGCTCTTAGGAAAAAGATACGAATCTTTAAAGATATCTAGACATCTTTGGATAGACTGTCTGATAACAATCTTTCAAATACTTTCATACTGAACCATTTTTTTCCCAACACTTTGTCCGGATGCATGGTCTCTGTATGTACTGTTTCCATTGTCTGGACTGACCCTCCTAAAACGTCTCCAAGTAAACTCATACATATTCATTAATCCAGCTCAATTATTACTTCTTCAGGGAAGCTATACATGACTCCCTTTGATAAAATAACAATTATTTTTTAAAAATAATAATTATTGTTTACATTATCAGAAGCCTATATCCATCACTTCTCCAGCAGTTATGACAGTTATAATTTTAAACATATTTGTATAATTCTTTGAAGAATATCCGACTCTTCTACTATGTAACTATGAATGCAGGGATTATAATTTTGCTTTTTCTAATGTGACATATTCCTGGTATCTACCAGATTTGTCCAGCATAGATTCATGATCAATCAATATTTGCTACACATATGAGTGAATA